CACACACACACACACACACACACACACACACACACACACACACACACACACACACACACACACTTCTATCCCCCTTTAAACTGTTTTGTTCTCTGAAAAGATAGCCATAAAAGCACTTAAATTATATGTTTTGTGAAAGTAATGAACCAAACTATTCCCTTCATTTGTTTTTCATGTAATACTCAGTATATAATTAGCTTTCAGTAAAATGAACAGAAACATAAAACAGAACAAAATTCTGGTTTAGTTTTCTTTTTGGGTTATATTTTTCAGCTTAGATTTTTTTCTTTTTTTGTTTCTTATTAGTTTAAGTCTTTTTGTGGTTCAATTTATGCTACTTGTGTTTTTTTGTTTGCCATCATTTCATCTGTTTGAATCAGTTTCTCAGTGTTTCCTTTAGTCAGCCTCTTGTTCACACCTGTTGTCAATCTGTAATCAGTTCAGTTGTTTCCAGTGCTTCATTGTTTAGCAGTAATCAGTCTCTTCAGTCTGTCCTCACCAGGCTGGTGGTTTTGATGCTCCACCTTTATGTGTCTCTGTGGGAGTGGGATGTGGCAGGCACAGTATAATGTTCCAATAAGGATCAGACAAAAAGGYAAAGTAAAAACYAAGTGTMTTGTTCTCAGCTCCATCATTTTGCATCAATAGATGCTCTACATGTCCTCCTCTGAGAAGTGCAACAAAAATGGTTCTGAAACTATCCAAGAGCCATTCCCCAAGTTATTAAACCAAATTATAGGAGAGTGTGTCTCAGTGTCCCGAGTCATGGAACGTTCTGTCTTATCATGTGAGTAAAGGGTTGTTAGGGGTTTATTAAACTGAATTGCTTGAAAGTTGCTCAAAGTTTGGTTCAAAGAACAAAAGAAGATTCAACTTGATCAAAACTTGAGTACTTTTCCTTTACTCAAACTTTAAAATAAAATGGCAACTCTTTGGACTAATATGTTTGTCAACCCATTTTTTTGTACACTTATATGAGTTGTTACCATCGAGCAGAGAAGAAATAGGGTTAAGGTCAGGGCAAGTGTAGAAAATATAAGTTTTGACAAGGATGGGATATTGTTCAACAAAGCAGCAGAGCTGAATGACCAGACCAAGACAACAAATAAAAAGATAAGTGCAGTTTTATTTACAGGTGGAGTTTTTGGTTTTGGACATCAGCTGTAAAGGAGGAGAACGTAGAAGGTGAGTATTGGTTCTTGGAAGAGTAATTTGTTGTAGATGTTTTCTTGTTAATAAGTAATTCTTTCTTACAGATTTTCCAGAGGCGAGGAGGTTTTCAAAGGCAGGTGGCAGT